TTGTGTAAATAATATAATATGAAGGAGAAACACTCAGAACTTGTTCGACAGATGTTTAGAAGCACTGGAGTTTAGAAAATGCTTTCCATAAACCAGTTTGTTAAACCAAAGTCTTAAGTATACATAAAAAGATACTTGTAACAATCCTTCATTTCTTGCTGTTTTCTTCTTTTAGGATAGAACAAAACAGCGGAATTGCGCCTCAGCTTGGAATGGTTGTGATCCAATATTACTTCCGTTTCTTATTCAGACTTATAACTCCTCAGTATAACGTTCGTTTTATTTTCAGTGATATTTTATTTAGTATAAGATTGATTTTTATTTCAGTGTGATAATTACTCAGGACACTAGTTTTTGAATTGAATTAATGTGAACTTAGTTCAGTATGACACACAGCATGGACTCTTTGTAGTACCCGTTTTGTAGTTTCCTTTTATGAGACATTTTTTAACCAAACATCAAGTGTAAAATTAATATAAAAAAGAATGTTTCTGGCTAAATTAGTTGATTTATTTCAGATTGTGAAATAAATCTGCCTCTATAATCATTTTATTTGCATAATGTATATCACAGTGGTTCTCTGATCAAAGCAATCAATCGTTTAGGAATAGTTGGTTTTCCTGCTACAAATATTCAGTCAGCATTAACGTAGACCCTGGCATAGACGTGCACTGAGCCTGTAGGGCCAGCGAAATGTCACTAAGTCCTAGTCAAATCATCTGGCAGTTAGATCATTGAATATCGAGCGAATCATCGATCCTCGTCAACGTCATGGACAACCAACACGAATCAGTTAATCGTATGTCATGGACTGGTCCATGGGACAGTGGTCTTACTTTCGCTTGTATCTACTTTAACTAATATATTTCTGTAATAACGTTCTCTGTGTTGTACAGTCTTCAGAGCATCTATGGTACCTAGATACGTCAATGGGGTAGTCCACGTAAGGTGCTGACCACGAGGTGTGACTTCGACGTTAGCCAGTTTGTCACACCATTCACGTCTAGCTCGAGTAGGCCTCCAATCATTTTCGACATAAATAATCTACGTTGGTGATCTAAAAGCCAATTTACCATACTGTGTTAGTAAGACGAGATGAAATTAACAAGATATATAACAAGAGAGATTGAAATAATGTAGTAGAAATTATAATGAGGAAAACTAAGCATTGAGGATAGAGTTCTAAAAACAGAGTAGAAAGAAGTATGTATGAAGGAATACTGGAGTTCACTATCGATAGAAAAATAGAGAGTGAATATATCTGCATCATAGTGAACGATTGAACCATGTCACCCAGTGTCCAATCATTGATCGCTGTTATTGAACAATTATTCAGCAGTCTTTACGGTTACAACATATATAAGGATATAAACTTTGTAACTAGACCAGAATTATCTAACACTACACCACTTATTCTACCTCTGTAAAGTTGACTTTTCGGTCTTCTAAACCAAAAAATGTTAGATCCCAAAACCAGGCTTATTCTCTAGTTTCATTAAACAATGTCAGTTTTTACAGCTAAAAATAAGAATAAATATTAGAGTTGAATATAATGCAATAACTTAATTGGACCTTAGCACAGCAATGCTAGTTCAGTAATAGCGGTTGTCTTCTGAAAATTAATCATTAGCAAAGGCTGTTTACTTGTCATGGTAAAGATATGGCATCTATCACTCCAAAATGTACATAAAGTTGTGGTGATGACACTTTCTCGAAATGTCTATGACTTTCATGTACTACTTATCAATGACTGCAATATACATCTTATGATTCAAGTGGCCGATGGGGACTTGTTGGTCGCAGGTCAGATAACGGGAACCGTCTACTGCAATTGTGCACAGACCACAACCTGTTTCTGGCTTGCAATAACTACCGGCACAGTCATCGCCGATGTGCCACTTGGCGTCCTCCCTCTGCATCTTAAGCCTGAACTCAGATTGATCACATCGCGATCAGCTACCGCTAGCGTGGTTATGTACAAGACTGCCGCTCCTTTTGGAGTACCTATATGAACTCTGATCATGCCCTTGTTTGCGCTGATCTAACCTTACTTTTCAGTGGCTAACAAATTCATCGTCCTAAACGGATTGATGTCAGTAAATTGGTTGCAGCTTCTGTTGCAACTAAATATCAAACCGAGCTGGGTTCAAGGCTAGCTAACATCCCACCGAAAAGTATAGATGAGCACTGGTTGCAATTGCATGGCGCCATGAAAATGGCGAGCTAAGTCGCTCGCGGCTTCGCGAAACGTTCAGCCTATAAACACTGGGTTTCTCCTAGCTCCTTACAACTAATTGAAGCCCGTCGGACTACTCAGGGTGACCACGAGTTTGACCACAAACGACGACTGTTACGCAATGAAATTGGGCAAGGCTTACGTAAGGACCGGGAAGCCTGGCAGTCGGAGCGTGCCAATGACTTAGAAGCAGCAGCTGCATCTGGTAACTGCCGGGAGCTCTTTCAACTCACCCGAGCCATTGGCATACCTCCAAATGCCCTGGTATGATCAAGAGTGGGGAGGGCCCGCCCCCTTCCGAAATGCCCTCACATGGCCATGTGCATACAGCCACTGCCTTATCGCGGCATTACTGTTGTTTAAGGAATTCAGAGAACAAAAAGCGGAACTCCAGCATTTTAACTGGGTTGGTGAACACAGGGAGTTCACCTGGGGGAGTTGGGAAACCCTGATTCCAAACCAATGGTGCACATGGGCTCCGGTATCCCGAGGGAACAAATTGCGTATGAACCAATTTTTGGTCACCGGCTACCACGGGACTGCATCTCTTTACGATGCTCCACTGCCTTGTGGATCAGACCTTTCGGTCGAAGTCTCGGGGTGTGGCCCACTAAGAAAACCACCTGAGATGACAATCATTTCAGGAAGTACTATGCTCATTTCAATTAGAATTTAGACATTCCACATTCACTTGATAACACTCATTTTTATTACTATTTTTTATATACTACGGTGTGGCTCAGATGTATCTGGTGCCCCCTTTTACCAGTATTTATGTTCAAAATAAATAAAGAGCCATTGGGAGCAAGAAGTCTGACGTAAGCAAAACAAACCGCGAAGATGAAGGGTTGCCAATCACTAACATCTACCGACTTCTTGGACGATGGGCAGTTCAACTGCCCCGTCAAAATCAATCAGACTGCCCCGTCAAAATCAATCAGACTGCCCTGTCCTTAATGACCTGTGACGACTGGTCCACCAAGAGGCGGAATTCCGCAAGGAACTCCAACTCTTGGAGCGCTACAAATCACCGGGCCTAGATGACTTACATCCGGATCTTTTTAAAGATGGTGGACTTTCTAGTTAAGGAACTGACAACGTTGTTTACAAAGGTCTGGGGACTAGAGAGTGTTCAAACATCGTGTAATGAGTCGATAGTTGTCCCTATCTTTAAAAAGGGTTCACGTCGTTCCTGTAACAACTATCGGGGGATAAGTCTACTTCCGATTGTGTCCAAGCTATTGGCTTCCGTCATACTTCGTAGGTTGTTCAAAACCCGAGAAAGATTGACTCGCGAGGAGCAGGCTGGGTTTCGTTCTGGTCGAGGATGTATTGATCATATCTTCACCCTCCGCCAAATGTCAGAACACCGCCATACTTATCAAAGGCCAACAATCGTAGTGTTTCTTGACATCAGGGCTGCCTTCGATTCGTTGGACAGGACTGTTCTCTGGGATTGTCTATTGAAGAAGGGTGTGCCTGAGAAGTTTATTACCATCCTAAAAGCTCTATATACAAACACCTCAGGCAGAGTGAGGGCATACAACCATCTTTCTCCATTGTTCCATACGAGCAGTGGGGTTAGACAGGGTTGCCCAATCTCACCATTCCTCTTCATCTTGGCCATCGACGACATTCTGGAAACAGCTCTGATGGATGTAAGCAATAGAGGTGTGGATCTGTTGCCTGGGGAAAGACTTCTCGACCTTGAGTATGCGGATGATATTTTCTTACTGTGCGATAATGCCCAAGGTATGCAATCCGCACTTAATCAGTTGGCAATCAGTGTCCGTAGGTATGGTATGTGCTTTGCACCTCCGAAGTGCAAAGTACTTCTACACGACTGGCAGGATTCTAACCCTGTGCTCATTCTGGATGGTGAGCAGATAGACGTAGTCGAGAAGTTCGTGTATCTGGGTAGCTGTATGAGTGCTGGTGGGGGTGTGAGTGATGAGATCAATGCACGTATAGTGAAAGCCAGAGCGGCTTATGCTAATCTGGGCCATCTTTGGCGCTTTCGTGATGTTAGTCTGGCTGTAAAAGGTCGGATCTACAACGCGTCGGTGAGAGTAGTTTTGCTCTATGCTTGTAAAACCTGGTCCCTTCGAGTTGAGGATGTTAGACGGTTCTGTGTTTGATCATCGCTGTCTCCGAAGGATTGCTGACATCCAGTGGCAACACCATATTAGTAATGCAGAGGTTCGGCATCGTGTGTTCAAGCACAGTGACGATAATTCGATTGGTGTCGTAGTATGAAAGAAAGCTGCAAAGGACTGGCGGTCGTTCACGACTCCCTGGCTGGGGTCCGAGAGATGGTGCAACACAGTGGCTAGAGACGTTATCAGATGCGGCTTAAAATAGGAACCAGTGGTGACTCTGCTCTAACGTTATTTTGCTTTCTTCATAAAAAATGACGTAACTTTTTGACTGGAAGAATTCTCCCTGGCTGTACTTTTGTAAACTGAACTGCCTCTTCCATTATTATTTCACTATCATACACTAATGTCTGTTCGTTGTTGTTCCCCTTTTTCTTATACACACCTTACATTCTCTATCTCTTCACATTCTCATTATTATTGTGTGATGCATATGTATCTGGTGCTCCTTTGTACCAATATTTATATGTTTAAATAAGTAAATAAACCAGCCATTATAAATTAAAAAACGGAGTCCAGGAGGTTAATTTGTGCTCCTAAATAAGTGAATCTCTGCTAATAACAACAGTACAAAAAATAGATTTAATAATTTAGAACGATGAGATGGTCCCAGTGAAGTTGACCGACTGAGCGAAACGATATTGCATTAGCAGTCTATCTCCACTAACTCAATTTTAAATTCTACTAAACCTAATGTTTTCAATTTGTTTGATGAACATGTCAGATATGCAGTTAAGTAGTCCACAATTTCGAAATCGTCCGCTATAAAACGTAGTCATTTACGGATGGCATCTCGAAGCTGTTATAAATCAATGAGGTATTTAGGACATGTATGGAATATTAAAAGAAATATAGATCTTAAAGAAACAAGTATCTTTCACTTCACATACACGGGATTTCTGTATGCCATCAGGTGATACTAGCTACAGTGAGGAAATAAAATCCTCAGAAAAATCACCCGAAAATGTTTACAACAAACCAGTCCTATATAACCCGACATCATTATGCTTTCAACCTCCTTAACTTTACATTTCAACAAGGTAAAAAGGAACGGATTAATCGAAAGACAAAATTTTGCAGGACAAGCATTTTCATTTTATCGTTATGAATATATAAATAAATAATATGTACAGATGCAATGTTTTATTTTGTCGCCATCTAAACAGAATAAGATTAATGAAAAAATGGTTGCTTACTCTGAACTGTTCTTCTATATTCGAGATCTCACTTATAAGATCTTTCAGAGCAGAAACGAAAACATCTACAGGTGTCGCCGGATGAGCTGTATGTACTCGAATGACGATTTTGTGCTCTAATGGATGAGGAGCTTTGTATCCTGCAAATAATACTCTTGGATCTTTTAGTAACTGGCTAAATTAGGAAAACAGAAAAAAGGACAAGTTTGAAGGAATGTTTAATTCAAGAAATAAAATAATTCCTGAATATCCACCGTAACTAGTGGGAGACAGTAGAAACTAAAGAGTAAAATAGCGACCTTTTGTTACGGGCGGTGACACTGGCATCTCAATAGAAACAAAAGTGATAGGTAGAATGATGGCAGTTGCATTATTTTTAGCAGCAAAGTAAAAGTCAAGCGTTAAATGGTAAAATGAATAAGATGAAAACCAAAAGTGGTTAAAGAAAAGATAGTGAGTAGGGAACTGCCTGAAATTTATGGAAGAATAAGACTAATATGCACACATACAAGTAAGTAATTTGTGCATGATCGACTAAAGCCTTTTACCTTCCTTTTATCAAACCTATACCTTTCAGCTTGAATACTTAAGTCTAATTTTAGTTTTAATCTAGTCACTCCACAGTTTTATGGCATTATGTTTACTCGTGATCTTTGTATGAATTCTGGATGATCTTATACTTTACATAACTTGTGCCATAATAGAATTAGAAAGTCAATAAGATGCCTCATACAAATCCTTTAAAATCCACTAACTTTATTATGAACTGCACTGGTGTTTGTTAGTTTATCATGGCTCTTCAGTTATAGTCCTAAAGATCATGGCACTTGCGACGTAGTCAGATATGGTTTTAAACAGTTGGTGGAGATTCTATTATCAATTTCATCACCGTTCTCATAACAGCTTAAAGTTAACAGTTATTTTGAAGGTGTACTCGGACTGTACTAGCTCGATGATAACTCTATAGGAACTAACTTGTTTGCTTACACATAAAGTAAAATGGATCTCCAGCCTATCAACTATTATCAGTAATTACTTTCCCCAAATATGTTGTTCTACTCGACTAAATAAGGATCTAATAAATAGTGATTCATAAAACCGAGTAAAAAATGTCATACTGCCTGGATTTAAAGATAGAATGGAATGGTGAATTATGTATAGTACTATATACAGAAAAACAGATGTGTCAAAAAGCACCGCATAACGAAAATCACTTTAAGTTGCCAAGCTTCTCAACGCAAAGAGAAGACAGGAAGATATTAAAATGAACAGATAGGGAAGAACTGCATTGACAGTTTACACTCTATGACACATCTTACACCAACGGTTAGTGACTTTATTTAGTAGTAGCATGTTTCTGCGTGGTGATATTTGATACAAGTCCTCATCGATGAAATAACCTATCTCCTCTGCGATTGTGAGTATAACGTAGATAATAATATTCATAAAACATACCTTCACACAAAAGTAATCGTGTTGAAACTCAGTAATCAAATGCAGATTCACATGTTCAATTCTAAACTACACTCTGTATGGTAAATAGTAAGCATATTTGGATGCCAGAACGAGGCTAAGCGGGACGAAGTTTGAGCATGCAATTCAATAACCGGGAGTTGGTCGACCTAATCACTAACTTATTATACTACCGATGGTTTATATCCCACTTATGGTGAAAATGATGCACTAAAATTAGCCGTATACCTAGAGAAAGCAATTATTTCTACAAACCACTTTTAAGAAAGGCAGCAAAACGAAAATGAGTCCGAATAACGTGAAAACATTGGTGAAATTCCAATCTGCCTGGTAGACAATAAGATCAAAACGTCTGTACGGTACTTACGCTTGGACTGAAACACTTACAAATAAAGTTGAACAAAGGAATTACTTATAACAAGAATACCAGAAAGTTCTGACTACTGGAATGAATCAAATAAACATATCTTAAAAACTTCATGGGTGTAGAAACGAAATAACCACGAAATTATTCGGATCGTATAATTGTTACTGCACAGTCCATACCACCAAAGTTTAGTTTAATATGTATTCACTACCGAAGCTTGGAATTTTATGAATAATAACATGACTAAGTAGCTATCTTTACATACCACACTTAACCATACTCCGGAAAATAAAGTTCAGCTAACCACATTGAGAACTCTACCTAGATCGAATAATCAGTAAACTTTCTGCAACACATAGCAGTCATTTTAAAAAGCATATATGTACTCAATATACTATTAAAAAACACACCATGTTATCATATTTCCAACAGTGTGATCCTCTCGATTTAGGGTAAAAATGGCAGCATTTGGAACCTGAGTATCCTTTTCGAAGGAGATCCTGCAAGTGTAATAATGTGTGAAAGACCCACTTCTTCTCACCATCGGCAAGCAGGAATGGTTCAAACGAAGCAGGAGCATTCATAGTAACTCACAACTTCGTAAGTGCGGGTAAAGGTACGACCTCCAAACTCTGACTTTTGACTTCTCCTAGGAAGATGTGTGCTGTTTGTTCCTTGGAATCTTTTTCTGGATAGCGTGGTTAAAGAGAGATTTTACTCTTGTTGCATTCCTGCTAATAACTGGAGGAAAAAGTAATTAAGTTAATAAGTGATCGATTAGTGATATATAATAAACTCCATTAGTACCCGCAGGATTAAAATGGTCGTTAGGGTTTCTTCAGAAAGCAAATATGGCATAGCTATGCAGCGTTTGACAAGGCTGCTGTTAGCAATACACTTAGAACTAGTGAAACGCCACCAGCCTCAGACAAATTATCCGTCAGGCTGAATATTGCAGTCAGCCTTCGCACAACAGGTACGATGGAACGCTACAGACCGAGGAGAAATACGTGTATGATTAATATTTGGCAAGCCCAAAGAAAAATATGAAATGCAGTTGGCACAATCTGCACTCGAGCAGACTGAGAAAATATTCTCGTACATAAACTACGGAACAAGGGTGCATCACTGGATTCCCAACCTAACTAAAGAAAGGAGTGAGTCTGAAATGATAGAGGAAAATCAGGATAAAGCAAAGGCTATGGCTGACTATTTTTGGCAGGTTTCACTCAGGAACCTCCTCTAGACAAAGAACCAGACCAAAATAAAGAGTCAACAAACCACCTGCTCACCGTGGACCTCAATCAAGACGATGTACTTAAGGCCTTTAGCATCTTGAACATGTAAAAGTCAACAGGACCAGATGAACTACACCCCAAAATCTTCAGATATATTTCAAAATAAATCGCGGCCCCACTAACTGTGATACTCAACACGTCACGTGACCAAGGTGTGCTACTTATGGACTGGAAGGATGCAATCGTCACTCTCACACATAAAAAAGGACCAAGAAAACTTCCATCGAACTACAGATCTGAAAGTCTCACCAGTGCTGTAGTTAAAATATTGGAAAGAATAGTCAAAAGGACAATAATGGCATTTATAGAAACCAATAACTTGGAAAAAAGATAACAACATGGTTTTAGGAAGGGTTTATCTTGTACAACTAACCTTCTTATAGCAAGGGAATTTTGGATAAAGACAGTAGACAACGAAAACTCGGTGAATGTTGTCTACATACACTTCACTGGGGCTTTTGATAAAGTGCCAACTAATAGACTGCTATTGAGGTTAGAAAATCCTGGTATTGCCGGACCTCAATTAAAATTACTTGGAGATTTCCTAGTAGGTCGTAGACAGAAGGTAAGAATAAATTCCAAGTGCTCCATCTGGAGACCAGTACTTCGTGGAGTATCTCGAGGTTCCGTCCTAGGTCCTTTACTTTTTATGCTGTATGTAAATGATCTCTGAGTATAGTACAGTCCCCAATGTTATTATACACTGACGATGTAAAAATCTGGCGAGTAATAAGTGGCGACGCAAGCGCATACGCACTTCAGGCAAACTTAAATAATATGGTTAACTGGTCTAAAGAGTGGCTAATGCCCATCACTGCGGCAAAGTGTGTCTACATGCACTTTGAGGATACAAAGAATAATAGATACAGTTTAAGGAAAGTTCCAGTACCAGTGGTCCGGTCTCATAAAGATCTTGGGGTAACAGTGAGTCATGATCTTAAGACGATGGCCCACCGCCGGAAGGTCTCAGTTAAGTGGTTTAGAACCCATTGTGCTTTAAAACGAACATTCAGTAACTTAGATACTACCATGTTCACTACAGCATACACAACATCAGTGAAACTAAGCTTGAGAACTGTGTTCAAGCTGCAAGTCCCTGTTTAAAAGGTGACTCGTATATATATATATATATATATATATATATATATATATATATATATATGATCTTGGACCTAACTTACTCTCTTTTTCTTCCCACTAGATCTGGACATCTCAGAGGACATAGCAGGGTAGTATAAAAGTCAAGAACGAATAAATTACCCATGGCATACAGGTCTTAGGCATGTAGTAGAATTGGGCCCTAACCATACAATCTTCAAAGCTAAACACAGGCTATTAATGGAGTCCCATTATTTCGGCGATACCTCTTGCAGCTCAGTTCTCCCTCTGACATATTAAAACAATTGTTTCCTTCGTCCCTTTCGAGTTAATTGAGTAGTTCCCTCTTATTTTAGCAGATTTTCTAGGGCTTGAATACTGTCGCCATGTGTTATCTAGAATTCATACGTCAATACCTTAAAAGAAGACGTTAATACATAATGTCATATTATTTTTTCACGGATGTTTAAGCTCTGTTTTCAGCTTGCACACGATTGAGTGGTAATCTGAAGCCGTGTCAACCTCTTTTTTGTCCTTATGCCATCAGTGAACCTTCCGAATTCAATATTCATTTAATTATAACTTTCATAGCATCACTCTAAACTATAACTGCACAAACATTTATTCTAGCGTCATATCTTACTGCAATTATGAGTTATTTTTTCTTAATTATTTTTTGTTACTAATTTAACGATACACACATGGTCGTTTATTCTTGTTCTGTGTTCATAAACACGCCTATTAGACTGTTTGCGTATTTCACGTCTCCTTTATTTCTGTTGCCTTATTTTCTCCATTTTCTTCGTTAAACTCAATTCAATATTCTTCTCAATTGCACAGACCCGATTTATTATTATTGATATTCTACTACTATTGCACTAAATTTTTTTTAAATGGCAAGTATAATTCTGACATTATTGAAAATTGTGTATTGTTGCATTTTTTCAAGAAACCCGAAATGGTTTCTTCACAACACTTATGTACCCATAAGATGTTTGTGAATAATGATAATAATAATAATGATAATAATAATAATAATAATGTCTGTAATGTGGTTCAGTGAACCTTAATTAGCTTTGTTTTAGCATTTTTGGTGGATTATAGTGCCACGCATTATCATTTTTGTGGTTTTTGGGTGAACTAATGATTCCTTTGTACTTGTTGAATGCTCTATTTCGAGCTCCAAATACAGTATATTTGTTCGTGCTTATCTAGTACTTCTCGATTCAATTGCGTTATTTCTGGGATTCTTAATTTGTACTACAAATCAAATACTCCTAATCATCATACCGGCGTCGCGATGGAGCCTGCGATGAAACAGTTAGACATTCATTCAACTTCTGAAGCTTTTGAGGATTATCTGGAAAAGTTTGAAATCTAGAGCATGACTAAGAAAGATGTTAAAGGTGATAAAATCGTGACACATTTCCTGACATTCATCGGAAGAGAGGAGTATAGATTAGTAAAACGTTTGGCACATCCAGAAAAACCTTTCTCACTTCCTTATGCAACTCTTAGGGACTTACTTACTTACTTACGCCTGTTACTCCTCGTAGAGGAGTATAGGGCGCCCACCATTATTCTCCATCCAACCCTGTCCTGGGCAATCCTTTTCAGCTCCTTCCAGTTGTTAATCATCCATTTCCTATCTGCTTCTATTTCCCGACGTAATGTGTTATTTGGCCTTCCTCTTTTCCGCTTCCCTTCAAGATTCCAAGTTATGACTCGACTCGTGACGCAGTTTGACGATTTGCGTAATGTATGTTCTATCTATTTCCATAGTTTTTTTCCTAATTTCTTCAGCTGGAAGCTGGTTTGTTCTCTCCCACAGAAGGCTGTTGCTGATGGTATCCGGCCAATGCATGTTGAGTATCTTGCGAAGACAGCCATTTATAAATACTAGTACCTTCTTGATGATGGTTGTAGTAGTTCTCCAAGTTTCAGCTCCGTACAGTAGAACTGACTGCCTTGACATTCGTATTGAAGATTCTCACTTTGATATTTGTTGAGAGACAGTTGTTTTGAGTTCCATATGTTCTTCAATTGTAGGAATGCGACCCTTGCTTTGTCAATCCTCGCCTTTACGTCTGCATCTGATCCTCCTTGTTCATCGATGATGCTTCCCAGGTATGTGAAGGATTCTACATCTTCCAGAGTTTCGCCATCAACAGTGGTTGGATTGCTGTTCTCCGTGTTGAGTTTGAGGACCTTGATTTTCCTCTTGTGTATGTTGAGGCCTACTGATGCAGAGACTGCTGCTACACTGGCTGTCTTTATCTTCATCTGTTCGTGTGTACGTGATAGGAGGGCTAGGTCATCTGCAAAGTCCAAATCGTCTAATTGGTTCTGAGCTGTCCATTGTACGCCACGTTCTCCCTCAGATGTTGAGGTCTTCATAATCCAGTCGGCCACCAGAAGAAAGAGGAAGGGAGAGAGTAAATAGCCTTGTCTGACTCCGGTCCTTACTTGGAATGCATCTGTCAGCTGTCCTCCATGCACGACCTTGCATTGTAGTCTGTCGTATGAGTCTTGACAATCTTCTTAGGAACTCCATAGTGTCGAAAACGTTTCCACGACTTTCTCCAATTCACACTGTCAAACGCTTTTTCATAGTCAATGGAGTTGATGTACAGTGACGAATTCCACTCAATTGATTGTTCGACGATTATTCGTAGTTTCGCAATTCGGTATGTGCACGACCGATCCTTACGGAATCCAGCTTGTTGATCTTGATGTTGGACGTCTACTGTGTCTTTCATCCGGTTCGGCAACACTCTGTTAAAGGCTTTCCCTGGTATTGACAGTAGTGTAAGGCCTCTGTAGTTTTCACATTTGCTCAGATCTCCTTTCTTTGGAATCTTGACGTGGTGTCCTTCTTTTCAGTCCATTGGCACTTGTTCCTCCCCCTAAATCTTTTTGAATAGAAGGTAAAGCATGTTTGTAGTTACTTCGATGTCTGACTTCAGTGCTTCAGCTGGTATCTTGTCGGGTCCTGCTGCTTTCCCACTCTTGGTTCGTCTGATGGCCATTCTGATTTCTTCCGTCATTTTTCGATTGACATCTATAGGAAGATCTGTGTGTGTTGCTTCGATGTCCGGTGGATTCGTTGGAGCCGGCCTATTCAGGAGTTCCTCGAAATACTCTACCCATCTGTTCGGCTGTTGCTGAATTTCAGTGATCGGACTGCCTTCTTAGTATTTGACCGGTCACTCTGGTTTGCTGTATTTCCCTTTTAGTTTCTTCGTTGTATC